CTTTCATCTTCCAATTCCCCATTTGGTCTGCATCAGCACAGGCTAAGATCACAGCAAAGAGAAAGGAGAGTACCAGATAAGAGGCTTTGAAAGACAGGGAGTAAAAGACTAGTTATTTTATAGTTTCATGGGTCTGCCTTCCCCTTTCCGTCTGCATTAGAGGAATTTTATTGGGAACTTTGGATCCCTTTCCACCGCTTTTAACTGGTACAGCTGCATTAAATTCGGAACTCAATTGGCACCAAGTGACACAGAAACATACACAAACATCTGAAGCTATATTACAAAAAATCATTGTCAACATAAGCTGTAACACAAACACACAAAGAGAGTAGTGAGACATGTTTCACACACCACTCTGTTCATTGCATGCAGACAGTCTCTAGTGGCAATACAGCGGATGACAGATGGACACAGGATATACACAGTGGTCAGTCCACAGCCCTTTTAACATTTTTAGACAGCTTCTCAACAAAAAGCAAGCATTTATCCTCTTTACCCTGCAAAAAGTCCCCAAATTCCAATAACCTCTGCTGTGAAAAGAATTTCTCAAAATATGTACAAAGCATGATTAAGATGACCGACAAAAGCAAGACAGTGAAAACATTTTTTCCCTCCAGGTCTAATAGAAAATGCAATAGATTCACGATTAATTACTTATAAATATAGAATTTTCTATACGGACAGCTCAACACAAGGCGAGCTCGTCAGTCCATCACAGAGACACGGACATAAACAACCTCACAAGCACACACTCGCTCCTACGAGCAACTTAGAGTCTTCAATTAACCTGCATTGACATGCATGTTTTTGGACGTTGGAAGGAAGCCTACGAGAATTCCCACATAGATGGGGAGAACGTGCAAACTCCACACAAAATGGTCCCCTAGTCAGGAAATCCCATCTCCCTTGGTGAAAAAGGGATTATTATTAACAATCAGGACAAAAAAGGAGCATTTTCACTAAAAACAAGACCCTTGAATTAAGTGCAAATACAGACATTTGTGTGTAGCTATTAAAACAGACAGTCTGAGCGAGCAACAATTCTTTCCGGTGGTGAATTTAAATGAAGCCAAGAGCTGAGGGTTAAAACCCAAATATTAGAATTAGGCATGGTGTCACTGCCATTTTGCACTACGCATGAACAATTTGTTCAAAGTAAAAAATTGTTCGGATTAGATTTGGAAAGTTATATGAGTGTATTTCTAAAAATAAATTATGAGCTTTATAAAAAAGGAAGAGAAAAGTTATTTTATTTGACTGGGATCTCAGACAATGCCAAGGGAATATAGGCCTTTCAGTAGTTTTTAGTTCCCATTCCCTGGGATATGTTGCTGTTTATTTATCAAAGAACTAAGAGCAACAAACATCAGAAAAAGCAGCTTTAAAGTGTGTTAATTCATTAATGTCTGTTGTAAATGTAAAGACGTATAACACATAAAGAAGCAAAACCTGACACAGTCGATGGAAAGAATCGTTCACAAACTTAGACAAATAACTGCTGGAAATGCGTGCTGTGGCACAAAGTCTTTACCAAACTTGAGCCAAAATGTGTTTAAGATCCTAGAGAGAGACACGGAGGAATGCTGCTGTCAGGCTCAGCACGCAGGTCATCTGAGGACATGAACGAGCATGTGTGTTTGACTATGTGAGAGAGGGGATGTGTGGCAACTACATCAATCAATTGAAAACACAGAATTTAACAAGCAGAAAACAATACAAACATCAACTGAAATCTCTCTTATAGGGCACATACATTCACACATAACAAATATGTGCACATTTAGCAATCCAATTGCATCTTGAACTTATAAGGCAGCTTAATCACGGAGATCTTAATCAGACTATAAAATAAAGAACTGAGCAGCAGAAAACACATGGCTCCACTTGGTGGGTGGCTTGTAACGCCGTTCCTCTCCTAAACTAGATTTTTACATATGGTAGGGTGGGAGGAATGATTATCTTTGTTTTTAAGTCAAGCATTTGAGGTCCTAAAAAAGTAATGTTACAAAAAGCCACTTCAATACTTTACCAAATAAAAATAATAAGATGAAATGAAAAAAAGAAAAGAATCAATAAAAACACTAATTTACTTACTGGATAAATAGGTTACTTCCATTACATCATTCAGCCTCTTAGGTCTCCGTGTTGGCATATCTACAGAAAAATCTCCTTCTCTTATTGAATTTGAAGCTGGAAAGGCCTTGGCAGTTAAAAGTAATTTGATCTTACGGTGCCTTCCAACACAAAAGGCAGTGGTTGTACAAGACAGTGTAAAAACAGTGAAATAAGATTCAATAAAGGAAATCTGAGTAAGTTAGTAATGCAGCTTTGGAAAGTTATCAGGCCATCATTTTACACTTTGCAAAGAATGGCTTTATATTTTGAGGAGTCAATGTAACACATGGCAGTTTTCATTTTAAAGAGGCTTACTATGAGTGAGGGCATGAACTTTCTTTGATTGTCCAATGGCTTTACTGGTAAGTGAAACTGCATACACTGTGCTAAAATAAGGATGAGCTAAGATACAGTTTTATGTGAACAAACTCAGTCTGACACCCCCACTGAGGCTGACTGTTATGGCAACAGCACTATGCGAACACAGCGGCTGCTTAGTTACAATACGACCTGAAAAGGGGTCAGTGACACACCTACCTTTTCTTCTTTATAGGAGTCAGGCAGAATTTGTATTCATTAAAAATAAATAGACCCTACCCTGTTTTGTTTTGTTTTTTTGAAAGGATGACTCCAGAGAATATGTGTCACCTCATTCATGATAAAAGGCTTTCTACCGTGGTTACATAAAACACCTGCTGTTCCAAAATCACAGCGAACAGCATAACCAGCAGACTGTCGAATGTCAGGCAAAACTTCCTTCCCTAAATCCTCGCTTCTAGACAAACAGGATCAAATCATGAAGGAAAAATAATAGCTGTCTACAGGGATCCATATGTGGCCCGCTATGACCGAACACAGACCGGCTCTGCTTTGATCCAAACTCACTTGGATCTCAGACAAAAGAGCAGAGAAACAGGAAGGGCCTCCAGTGAGGAGACAGAACAGAGGAGGCAAGAGAGGTGCGCAAACACAACAGACGCGAGGAGCCCAACAGCAATAAGTGGGCTGTGTGCCCCTTCGCGTGTGTGAGTGTGTTTGTATGAGTGATGGTAGGAATTGCAGGCTTTTGCCTGTATGCGCCTAATTTGTCTAATTTAATGTGTTAAGTACGGCCTGAGTTATTACTGAGCACTTCTAAGTCAGAGGATTCTGGGTACGAATCCCGGCCGGCTGGGGGCCTTTCTGTGTGGAGTTTGCAGGCTTTCAGGTACGCCATCCAAAAAAATGCATGTTCGAGATAAGTGTGTTTTTGTGATTGGTTGTCTGTCCAAACGTCTCTGTGTGACTCTTTGTGATGGACTGGCGACCTGTCCGGAATGTACCCCACTCGCCAAATGCTTGCAGGGTATTATCTACACGATGTGATCAGGCTCGCACGTTAATATTGATTCATTTTTGCCCACTCTTCCTTTGAAATGTTGCTTAAATTCACTGAGGTGTGTGGGCCTTAGTTTTCACATGGAGCTCTCAGGGTCCCACCTCTGCTTTCTGGACTTTGACTGTGCAAATTTGAACTCCTTTAGTATTTTCTAAACTTCAGCCACACTGTTGGAGATTTAATGGTGTGTTTTCAATCATTGTTTTGCTGCATCTCCATTTTGGCAACTTTTTAGCTGGCAAACACTTGTCTCACTTTAGAGCCATTACCCTGCTGAGCATTGGATGCAAGTCTTTCTTTATTCCTTTTTTTTAGTGTATAACCTAAAGCAAACTGGCTGGGAGATGTCCATCCTGAGAAAACTGGAAACCTTCTTGACCATTTCCCCGCTTGTGAATAATCTTTCTCACTGTAGAATAATCGACTCCAAACAGTCTGGAAATGAGCCTTATAGCCCAGACTGATGGGCAGAAACACCCCATCAATCTGGGAATGGTCTTCTCCAAGATTATTGCAAAATTATTCATCCGTGGTTATCTTGCAATGCTTTCTAAGGTGGTTACGTTTACTTATGATCAATGAACCACTACATTTGGCAGCTACTAACCCTGCTACCATTCGTAGTATACGTGTGCATTTTTTCCCCCTAATACTTTGCTTCTGAGTTTCGGCTTAGTGTTTGTTCAGTAAAAACTGATGTGGTGTAACATGTTTATGAGCAGATTGTGTGAATTCAAATGCAGCTAAATTATGTTAAACATTTTCCAAGGTGCCTTTGCTTTTTCATATGACTGACAAATCGTTAATCCATCTGAATTGTACATTTTACTAAGGAATTAAACAAAAAGCAATTGACAAATTTTAAGATTAATAATTTCCCTCCATTATGTATACTTGTATTGCTTTGCCAAGATCAAACAACCTCATTTATTTCTTACTGCCTGCACCATGATCCAACCACACTGAAGCTTGGTTAGTTTAATGCAAAGAGATATGTTGTGCTTCATAATTTCACTTATGAATAAAATAGTGTTTTCCTGTGTTGGTACCATTTACAATATACACATTCTTACCTGTCCATCCTGACCAACATGCACCTGGTGAATCTGGAGGTTTCCCTGAAATAGAGAAATAAAATGTCAAGCTACCGAACTATGAATTTTTATAAATGCTCAACTTTAACCTGCAAATGTAAAAACATATAAAGAAAAAAAGTAGAAGAAGTTTGTTCTCCTTGTCTGTATTTATCTGCTGTGGTAGCTTAGGGAGCCTATGATGCTTCGACTCAAGTCATTAAAAGTGGTAAGCTGATCTGTCTCTGCAGAGAGCCAGTGTCAACATCTGAGAAGTGTCGGATCGGTTTGTTTCTGTCAATCCCTGCCGATTTACACGGTGTTCCATTACTTGGCATAAAGGAGTTGGCAGTGTTCACACAGCTCATAATGATAACTGAAATACATGGACTTTTATTCTCGTCAATAACTGCATTATTTTCTATCCAAATTCAGGCTTCTGTAAACAACAATAATAAGTGGATAATGAAGTGATCATTATAACACTTTGGAAGTCAGTGGGAATGCAAAAAGAACCTTATGAGAAAGGTCATTTAACAAGCTTCAGCTGTTTTCATGTTGCTAATTGCATTTAATGTATGCATTTAATATGGTCTAATCTTTCATACGCCCTGAGAGAAATGCAGCATCTGAAATGGCTAATTTCCTCTCCAAGCATGGTGACATAGTCTGAGATGAAAACGCCCCACTCCTAATGAAAACATATCCTGAGTGGCAGTTGGCAGATCTGGGATTTCGGTGCTAAGCTTTGAACTCCCCAAAAAAAAAACAAAGAAACAAATATCAAGTCATAGGAAGGAGTGTGGAGAAAAAAATATCTGGGCTCAGACACAAAGAGCAGGAAAAGCTTTAGAGGTTTTCTGCCTCCAATTTACTCTGGCTTTTTGAGTCTGTTATGTATTTGTTCTTGAAGGTCCTTTAAAACCAGAGCCGAATAGGAAATGAGAAAAACACTCGGTTAAGGTGTCAACTGATTTTGCACAAATGTGAAGCTGTCACACATGTATGTCATGCATGATATATAGTATATGACTGCATGTATGACTGTGTTCACAGACTGGACGCTTGAAATATATTGCTCTCCCACATGCTTGAAAAATCATTAACAATTATGCTGAGGCAGGAACGTCTCCCGTGAAGTTTCTCTGGTTTGGAGATAAAGTATGATTTTACACGAGCAGGCAGTGGGTGCATGCAGTCTCATGGGGACATTAGTCACTAGTCATTAGAGTATTATGTGGAAACATGAAACTCTGCATAAGCTGTCAGATATATCGTGTAAACAAAAGCATGCTGTCTGTGGAAACTTTCCTTTTGCTATGATTCGCTAATCTGTTAAACACTGAAGGCTGTCAGGTATTGCTTGAGTGCACAAAGCTATTTGCAGGAGCCAACAAAAGCACAAAGCTCAAAAGGCACTTAGGTATTAATTTTAATGTCTCCTGGTCAAATTATTTGACCAAGTAAACTGACTCAATCCATTATTTTGGAGGCAGATTTGCACAAGGTCTGAAATATGTCTTAAAAATGTATTAAACTCAATGATTAGTGGGAAATGGCTGCAGCTAAATTATGAAGGCCATTCTTCTATGCACATAGCAGAGAGTAAAGTAAGGTGCTGTTCGGCAGATCTAATGTGCCTGTCTCAGTAAAAACAATTTTCAGAACCTTTTTCTTTTCTTGTGTCATACAAATTACATCTGTATCCAAAACTTTAAATCTTTCAGCATTTACATGTTTTAAACAATCATTTTCACTGGATCACTCTCACTTTCACAGAATAAAGATTCCCTTTGTCTTCAAAAGCAAGCCATAGATCTCAAAGTTTACATTTATATCAAAGCCATGCGTCAACTAAATTACATCTATCCACAAACTGACATTTTCATCACATTGTACATAAACATGGCTTTTTTCAGTTAAATTCTGCTTTGCGGGCACAATCTTCTGCAAAGTGAGGTTTTTAAAAAATTCAACCTCTTTAACACATGAACTTGCCTCACTGTCCTGTGTGATCTGCACCTCCTCCCCTTGTGGCACCTGGGCGATGTGCAGCTGCCCCTGTGGAATCTGTCAAGCATAAAGAGCAGGCCGCAACTGAAACTCACGCATTTACACACATGTGAAGAAATTTCCATCAATCCAAGAGGATTTGTCAATGCATTGTTTTTCTTAAATCCAGACACAATTACAATGTGGTTACAAAGAGGGCACAGAGACCAAAAACACTGCCTATCATTGTTTAAATCAACCCTCTGTTTCGTATAACTTGTATCATTTAATCTCTTTTATTTATATTCACAGAATTGGAGCACTGTGCTTTATGTCTCTACCAGTTTGCTCTGAAATCTCATTAGGTAAGCGTGCTCCAATAACCAGTATGATTTGGGAAAATGATGTAGAAAACAAAAGCAGTACACTCTTCAGTTTAACAACCACTTCACAACAGTATTTAAAAAGTGGCATTTTTACTCCAAGCTTATATAGGTTCTGTAATCATTTATTTATTAAAATAATTATAAATAATTTAATCAACTTACCTAATGAGGGGTGAGTAGCATCATTTGGCAATTTGCCAAAATAATGATGCCATGATTTATCATTTAAATTACTTTCTTCTGAGTAGGCAAGCAATGGCTTTTGCCGACACGTACCACCTGAACTTGGCCATCTTCACTGATACGGTGGAATTGCACCTGCTGATTGGCCAGCGTGTAGTGCAAGGTCTGCTGGGTGGCAGTCTCAATGTGGGCCGTCTCCTCGGTGATGCCTTCCTCTGCACAGGAGGAGAAGCAGTCCGGTCAGAGATGCACTCATGTACAGAGAGGAAGGTTTCAGTATGTCAGACATACAACACAACTGACTCCGGTATAGAAAATAAAAAAATCAACAGAGGCCTTTGAAACTAAGGTCAAAATGAGGAAAACTATTGCAGAAAAGTCCAATTTTACAAAGGCACAGTATGGTTCTTTTCCAGGACAGTTGGATGATGTTGTGTTCAGATCTAAACTTAAGAATAAAACAAAGTTTTCAAGCCCTAGTCCACACTCTTCAACGCCCGGCTCAACATAAACATAAACTCTTCAATCCAAACACTCACAGACCCATGTCCCAAAAGACATACAGCTCAAGTAGATATCTTATCGGTGAAAACATCCGAAACAGATCACATCATAAAAAAGACTGTTGGGATAAATAAATGAACACTTGTGTCAAAAACATAAACAACATCTCAGTCTTTCAGTATTTTCTTTTAAATGGGCCTCTATTTCTAATTCATGTCGTCTCGTTAAGAGGGCTACGGCTGCTTTTTGTGTCTGTGTTGCACGCCGATGAATGAACCATCTGAACAAGTATTTGTGTTGTGCACTCTGGTGTGTGTGGCCTGAAAAAGGCTGAGCCTGATAATCCACCCCTAGTGTGTGCTCACAGGATATTTGGGTTTCCCCACAGTCAAACGTCTCTCTGGTCAGAGGTGAGAGGTGATAGCTCACAGGGACCGAAGGACAGCAGGCATTGTGTGTAGATCACAAACATCTGCGGCAACAAAATCACTTTGGCCTCAGATCATAATGCAGCTTTTTCTTTCTAGATAAAACACGACGGATCTGAGTTCACAGCCCGTGAATGTGTTGATAGATTGCACGAGGGGGCATTTCAACATCCAAAACCCAAAAAACGGGAGCTAGAGAACACCCGCTGAATTATCTGAGAAGCATTTTAATTCAGACTGTCTCTAAGAAAAACAGGGCGCAAGTTAACCACAGCTTCAAGTTCTCATGATGCTAATACTGACCATCCACAACTATGCGCCACATCTTGGTTCCCCTGTGTAATATTAACAAACATCTTCTATGTGGACTAAACAATAAAACTTTAAAAAAGTGACGAATCGCTGGCAGCTATCTGTACTTTTCTTTGGACACAGCCATAAGAAAGTGCTAAATGTCATAAAGAATAAAGTAAGAGGAACATTTTCTCCAACTTTAAAGAAGGACAATACATCACACGCTGCTCTGATCAGCTCAAAGATGAAAAAATCAGATTTGATTTCTCTGACAGCGGAAGATTTATGGGGTTCAAAACCATAAGTCACATTCTGCTCCACTGAAACAAACAAAACTTTAAAAAAAGTAAATGGTGCTGTGGTCAGCATCTGAGTAGGTGAAGCAAAGAGCAGAAGGTGTTTCTTTATCAGGGGGCCTGCTTTTTATTTTTTTGTTAGAACGTGTCCACTGAAATGTAACAAAGCTCCCACAGTGATTAAAACACATCACACGCCACAGAGATTCTTTTACAGATTCCACAATAGCTTGGATGACTTGAAATTTTTCTGAGAGTCAAAAGTGGTCTAACATCAGGCATGCTGCCATTGTCTTTAGGTTCCAGGTTCATCCAAGTAGTTTAAAAAACATTTAGACGAATATTTAGACACACACCACGGACGGATATGGTATCTCTGCTTTACCTGCGTTTGAATTACGTGGTGTGCGTTTGGAGAAGCTCTTGACCGCCAGACTCTGACCACGCTGCTTGCGCCTCCATGCGGTGCGACACTTTGAATCGATGCTTTGTTTGATCCGGTACCAGTCGGACTCAGTGATGCCGAATTTGTGGAACAGGTGGCCTGAGGGAACACGACATCCAGAACATAAAGTAAGAGACTAAATCTGAGTAATTGCGGGTGGGATATTCCCTTTTAAGATTTGATAGAAGAAATTAGTTCATAGGCTTCAAAAAGCTGTCTAGAATGCCAGCATCCTAGACAGTGTTACAGCTTTCATAATCTGTACAGCAATGACAGTTGCCAAAAATTTTAATCAAAAAGAAATTGAATACCAAATTTAAACAGGAAAAAAAGAAGGCCATACGCAAAAAAAAGAAGCCAAGAAGACATGTGACAGTGTATTTTAATACAGCTGCTTCTTCTGTAACCAATACATACATTTACAAAAAAAATGAATAGAAACACTGTTTGGGCTCTATTTACTTCTCCACACCTACTGGCAAGTTAACACAAGCTAGTGTATCCTTCAACCGCTCCCTGGAGATATGTGCAGGTGTATTTAGAGGCTGTCTACCCCATATTATAAACTGTTTAGAGGGGGAGAGTCGCTTGACAGCTCATTTCTATGTAATTTAACAACGCCGCTACACTCTTTGACCTGGGGATAGAAAATGAGACAGAGGGGGAGCTGAAAGATATCCAATAGTGCTTGGATGACAGCATACAGAACCCCTTTGCACCTGATGGGTCATGTAGAGGCAAGCAAGGCAGGTGCTCCTTGATAACTTTCCATTATTTTAAGAAAGCCAGAATGAGTCACCCAAAAAATAAATACAGCCCTGCTCCCACCTCTGCATTCCTGTGTCAGAGCAAATCTGCATGTAACTACAAATATAACCTGCCATGGAGAATATATAGGTAGCTTTGAATACCAACTTATTTATTTATGAATCAAAACGCAAACTGAAACTTTAAGGAAAAAGTCCCAAATGTGTGCTGCAAAGATTCTATTAAAAAAGCAAAGGGGACAAAGGAGTATTTTCACACAATCTCCCTCAGCAGACATTTACAGCATTGCTCTTGGGTACCTAAGCAAACATCACTGATAACTGTGCAACAAAAAGAGAAGCATTAGAAAGAGGAAGTGCAATGGCTGACTTATTTTCCACCTCTGCACAGCTGGCCAAGAAGAGTGAAGTGGGTGTGAAAGCCAGATGTTTTTCTTTTCCATACTTAGAGTAAATGGTCAACACTGACATCCTCTGTCCAGTCATGAAAGGTGTGGGTTGAGGGGCTATGCAGCACCATGCAATCACGTGACATGAAGTCCAGGCACAAGCTTCAATCCTGCTTCATGCCCACGTTTGCCATGGGCTAATATTCACAGAATAATTATCTCTATGTGATGTGAAATATCTAACAAAGCTTCTCTTAACTCTGTAATATAAACCATAAAAATATACACTTTTAGGCCAAAGGACTTGAATACAGATCGTGTCTCCACAGAAGTCATGACTCTACTTAATCAGGAATTAAAGAGCTCATTGAATTGAGGGTGGCTCCATTAAGATCTTTTTAACAGACATGCGCATGTCATTTAGAGTCTGGTATGTACTAAAATGTGTTGCACATTATTTTGTGCGTGCAGAATGTATGTCTGTTGTTCTAAGCCACCTTGGGAATACAGACTGGGGTCTATTTGTGTGTTTCAGTCAAAGCTGCTTTCAGAATTGACATCCAATGTGGGAAAGTATCAGATAGTTATTGCTTAAGTAAAAGTGAGAAGGGTTTCAAACCTTTTTAGATCAAATAATCATGAAAAACACAGTGGTTACAAACTTTGCAACAGATCAGATCCAGTTTCAAAGGTTGTGACAGAGGAAAGTCACTTCAATACTCACAACGAATCCCATAGATCATGAGTGGGTCTAGCTGCTTCTTTCCATGTTTGCCTTGCCCAGAGAGATTTGACATGGCCTGGACCTCGCGGTGGAACAGGTAATCCAACAGGGTAAGCGCCATTTTTTCTGCTGTGCGGCAGTTTGTGCTGATATGAAGCATGTCGGCGGCAGACACCGGACAGCGGACACGCATCTCTGGGTTGTTCTCATCTCCCAACCAGGTGCCACTGGGAAAATCATCTAAAAGACACAGCAGGAAATGCACTTAGGCAACATGTCTCATATTCAGCCAGTCTGTTGTCCACTGAGATGTGGAGGGTTTGTAAAATCTGTTTGGCCGGATTTTACTGACAAAAGGTCACTTCAAATACATCCCATAAAAACACTCTAGCTTCACATAGGTTGATAAAAAATTCACAGGTACAAAGGATCTGAAAAAGATGATGTTATACAACAGCACACTCATGTGGCAGTGCGGGAGAAGTCAGCATATTATGGGAAAAAATGTTTTTTGGGTTATCCGGTCAGAGCATGTGTTAGCCGTTAAGTTTTACCACACAATGCGTGAGACATGTTGTTAATGTTGACTACCACAATGCTATCATCATAACAAAGAGCTGCAAATAAAATACTAATAGTTTCCTTTTGAGGATAACCAAGAACTTCCTCTCCACAAAAAACACAAGCAAGAAACAGAACAAAGATAAAAACAGTATGGATTTCATTAAGGTTTACATGGTTAGAAATGAGCCGGTCTATTCTGGGCTCAGCCAGAGACCTTAAATAAAGCTCATGAAAACTTGAAAAAACAATCAGTTTGCATTAAAACAGTCTGATCTGGAAGAACAGGAACTTCCACCACATCAGATGAGCTTGCTTTGCGTTTGATGTGAAGATCAGCAAAGGGCAAGTAATTAATTTTATATACGATCGATCTAAACAAAAAGAAAAGGAGGATTTCTATGTTTATTTCATTTCAGTGGTTTCTTTTTTTTCTAACTTGGGATGGGCTGTCAGAGGGTCTTTAAATATTAATTCTAGTTAAAAAGAAATAAGATTGAGACAATGGTAAACCTGAAATTTGTCTGCAGGCAGGGTTAGTCTTTGTAACAGCAGCTGCTGCCTTCAGAAAAAACATCAACCCTGTCCTCATCATGTCCTCACACGATCTAGAGTAGGAACTATACCAACAGGGCTCATGTCTCTGCAGAAGCAGGGTGAAGACATACCTTCTGAGTTCAAAGTGATGAGTGTGACATTTTGGCCATTTTGTGCACTGCTTGACTGACCACCATTAGAAACAGAGTCACTGGCCTCTGAGCCACTGTCCTGCTCCTCCTGACTCTCATCAGGGCCGGGAACCTTTACCAGGATCGTGTTCTGCCGCTTCCGGGTCACCGTGCTGCAAACACAAACGTTGAATTTGAAGCACTGACAGCCATCAGCTGTTGTTACATGAGTGCCTCGCCCAAAAACTAGGACAAAAGGCCAAGTCAGGTGTGCTCCCACTGTATTTCTCTGTGACGCTGAAAATGGGTTGGTTTGTCATTTGGACTTTGTGTAGTGTGGTACAATACAAAAGTGTTACTCACTTGCTGAGCAGGTTCTCCAGTGGAGTGTCTTCTGGGCTAGAGCCCTTTGGGTTTTCTCTGTTCACTATTACATTGGTTTGTGGAACAACACTGAAAGAAAAGATTTTAAAAAGTCGTTCTCTTAAAGGGGCACTTTGTACATTGCTGTCGAAAAATATTATAAGTGAGACTGTACAGCAGCTGAAAGAACAACAGCGGCCATTCAACCTGTCTGACTAATGGAAAATATGAGAGTAGTCAGAACTTACCATCGCACTTTATTCCAAGTTTGAGTGGCACCCTGTGGTGACCCTGCAACCATAGGAACCTGGATAGGACTCTTGGCAGAAGGTATCATACCTTCAAGTTTGCGTCCAAGGGCTTTACATGTGGCATCTAGAGACTGTAGTTTTAATTCAATTCCTTCCAAGCGCTGGCTTATTGATCCAGTAAATGAAACCAAAAGGTTCTGGAAGCACAAATATGAAGCAGTTTATCTTGAATTTATGAAAATATATATATATCTACAGCCTGCTCCCTCAATAAAAACTTTCTTTGAACAGCACCATTCAGACATTGTGCTGGTACCTTTATAAACGTGAGCTCTTGATTGGTGTTGATCGTCTCCTGGTTGCTGCTCAATTTCCTCTTTTTCTTCTGTGGTCTTTCTTCATCATCTTCATGATTGTCCAGCATGTCTGGCATGGATTAAAAAAGACACGCTCTCAAAAATACATGTAAGCACCTTCTTGTTAGATTTCAGTAGGGCTGTTCAGACTGAGGGTGCATCCCTGCTTCAAAGAATGAGAATTACAAATCTATGCCATATAAAAACAATAAAGGTTCATACATCAAGTCCTGAATAAGTTAAACTTGATGCAAATGCATTTAGTTTAAACTCTATTTCATCAAATTGTTTATAGTGCTGCAGAAACCTTCAACAGGTACAAAATACAAATCAACAGGTTGTGATTCCTTTGATCATTTTTCTAATATTTGAATATGTGAAAAACGGGAATCTTACCACCGCGACCTTCCTGATCAAAGTCCTCCACTGTTATTTGCACTATTTCTTCCAACTCTTGTTCAGACATTGTTCGCAGCTGGAAAAAAAGAGACAATTGTATCTTTATGTTGTTTTCCAGGGTTTTCATTAAGAGAAACAATGTTTTGGATCAGTGTAACATTGAAATTGAGAGGTTTCTTCAATTTGGGGAGTTGTAAATACTAAAGAGGGACATCTTCAATCACATGGGTGCAGAGACAAGGCATTAGGACTTGATAACAGAAAAGGTTGTCTCTCTCTTGTCTATTTTTATCTATTTACACATGTAACACCATGTGGTTTTTTACCCGATTCGGTGCAATAAAAATGTAGGTGATCAGATAAAAGTGTAGAACGCTGTCCCTGTAGACAGGTACAGTGAAACAGGCCTGGAAGTTGGGCTGCTGGTGGTGCTTTCACGAGCATTTCTTTTTCATTTTGATACATTTTGACTGGTGTGAAAACAGTTGTTGAGGCAGAAGACAGCAAGCTCATCGTAACTCTTAAGGAACATGCACGGTTGTTGGTGTTATCTGTCCGTATCAGCAGTAGTGATATTGCGTTACTCTCAAATACCAACTCTGTTGTGTCACGCTAGAAACAATTGTCAGTGAGACACCCTCAAACCCTGCATTCCTAAACCAACCACTCACAACCCATTTATCACTTGGAGAAAAAAACTAGAAGTATGGTCATCAAGTTCATATATCAATGGCATATTATTTTCTAAAGTTGAGTTATGAGGGTAAAATGGTTGCTATAAAAAAATGTTGTCATGATGTAGCCACAAATAAAGCAGTCCTTTTTGTTAAAGCGTCAGAAAATGAGAACAAATGGTTATTTTCTCCATTAAACCTGTACATTTCAGAAATGCATGAACAAGACTTCCTCTAAGTCCTGACAGTGTAAGAAACATTTAATACTCACACCGCTCTGGCCAAATCTGACCATTAATGGTATCTATCCTTATCAAAAGTGCAGAATTAACAGCTTATAGATGATATCACTTTCTTTGTATATTTCATGACTACAGTTGCAAAAGTAATCCCATCATGTGAATTCTAGTACTGAAACATGCCTGTATACTATTTGTGTAACAGATGCAAGGATGATTTTCCTGTTCCTTTCTTTAAACTGGGCAGGGTTAGAGGAGTACAGTCAAAGTTGTTGTATTTTCACTGTGATAGTCTATATGTATGTGATTGACACGTATAAGGTGCTGTAACCATGTACTGTCAGTCTTCTGTCTTCTTTCCTATTATCTGGAATTAGACATATTTCACCATGGTGATATGCGACAACTGTCCTCGATTTGAATGCTAACGTCTTCATATCTGACGGTTAGCATCGATCAGCTCTCGTTGCTTCTCGGACACATTTAGTTTATAAAAGTCTTAGTTATGAGAACCATATATACAGAATGAAAAATCAAATAATGTTAAACCCCATCGCTAGATTAGAATGCTACGTTTAGAATAAACCACCAAATAATACGGCTAGTTGACTGGGCGGGGGTTTCTTAACGGTGTATAACTAAAGCACTCTTTGCTGGTTACGCATTATGTAATTTTTTTTTTAAACTGTAGGTTTTCAATTTAATTTTAATGTGCGCATTTTGGAGAGAAAAATACATTTTGCATTCAATCTTCAAACAAAAGCATTTAGCTTGTTGCTAACGTTAGCCGAGGCAGCACAATCCGATTTGTGAGCTTGCGTGCTAACGCCAAAGCTGAAGCAAAGAAGCCTAAATGAAATACTGTTTAGGCTAGCTTGGTAGTTAGCATGCTAGTTGGGCCTAAAGGCCGTTGGAACGAGATGCAATATACGTTTAAAGTTGAAGAAAACAATGAAATGTTATTTTGACTCCGCTTCTTTGGCCACTGTTGGCACACGATACATGAACCGCTTTAGATTGGGTTATATTACCGTGTGAATGACGAATTCTCGTGTTGTTTGTAGAGATTCCGATAACGGCGTCGTTCCTCGCGAGAGATGGGCCCGTGCATTCGTGCGCCACTCACTTCTAAGTTTCTCGTTTAACCGCGGTTCAACATCAGACTGTAGAGGCCGCACATACACTCTTACACAGTCCTAAATTCATGGAGGTTTATTTTACTATGCCTCAGACTCTACGACCTATTTTTTAACGCGTAATTTTTGTGTTTTAACTAAATTTCCTAAATTAAAATGTACCTCTCACGATAGTAAACCTTACATTAAAATCTATATTTGGCATTCATATGCAAATAAGAAACCAAAAATAAGTTAAACGACTCAATTGTAGGGTTTGGGTTGTTTTCTTTTTGCATAATTTACGCTTGCTATTTAATATCTAAAAATGAGAAACCTTGCTATCTTGTATTTTATTTCCACTTTGTGCTGATACATCAGAGCCTTTGTTAAGCCAGCCTGGATAACAAAGGTAACTAAATTATCTTCCATTCAATCAAACCGTTAGTTAGTTGAAAATAAAGTGCATATCTCAATTACCAGGCTACACGTTTCACGTCAGTAACAATACTAGGTAACAGATTTTTTTAAAATTTCACGACACAAGGAAAGTCTCGTCTGCTGGCCTGTCTACATCATAGTTGAATACTACTATTTGCCCGTGGAATTTCATCGGGCCAGTGGCGCAATGGATAACGCGTCTGACTACGGATCAGAAGATTCTAGGTTCGACTCCTGGCTGGCTCGGAATTTTTTGTTCTGAAAATTAACAATTTGTTGGATGAACCTTTCTCAAATAAACGTACTTTTTGTCAACAATTCATGCGTTCAACGAGGTACTGCTTTTAATGGGCTAGTATATGGAAAGTTGTGCTGACAGTCCTTATCAATCTAGAATATACTCCGGGATGAATTTTACCAATACAATTTATATCAAATTTAACTATAAATCATTTCAACAATACTGGATATGGAACAAAATACCACTCACACTACGACTTGTACGACGTAGATTTGACCATTTTGACATATTTCGTTCCTGATTTCCACTACAGATTAAACGACACCAAATAAACAAAAGACATTGTATGCAAGCTATTAAACAAGTTTTAATCATATCTTGAGTCATATCTTGTATTCATTGGAGAGTGAATACGTGTTTGTTTGTGTTTATGCATTTGGCAGACGTTTTTCTAAGTGGTTCAGGACAGAATATTATATGTAGCGTGTTGGGAGACAGTTCCCATGGTGCATTGCAATTTGTTACTTGTTACCATGTTAAGAAACCACCCTGACCCTGTAGGATGTTATTCTTCATCACAACTTATGCTTCGACAATTTATATGCGTAACAGTAAATTAAGTTCAGATAAACGACTTGTTGTATAAGCAATTACTATATACTACGTAATGTATCTCTTATTACAAGTCACTTCCATGATAATTGCAGCAATGACTTTTAATCAAATATACACACACCCAAATATCATATATATTCATAAATATATATATATCAAAGCACACAGAGAGTGTGTGTCCAGCGCTCTTTACGTGAACCGTGTGACGTCAGAAGAAATGCCTCTGCCTGTGCTCGCGAGGAGATGAGCGACACTGCAGCTGATAGATGAATCCTAGTGATGTAATGTTGCCTGTTTGGTGACTACGGATGGCTGTTTGTGCCAGGCTCTGTGGCGTGGGGCAGTCTCGGAGGTGCCGGAGGCGACAGCGCAGCAACCAGCCGGACCAGGGCAGCGACTCCGACATGGACGAGGAGGAAGGGGAGCGGATCGTGGGCCAGAGGAGAGGCGACGCGGAGAGCGGCGGAGGCCCGGAGCGCTTGGTCGCCACTGCAGGGCCGAGTGACGCTTATGAATATGGCAGTGGCCGTGTCACCGCGGGAGGCTGGCGGGATCGCACAAGCACGGGACCTCCTCACCCCCAGTCCTTATCGGAATTACCGCCGGAGCTTTTAGTGGAAATATTCTCCCAGCTACCCGGAATAGTGCTGCCAAATGTTGCCCTTGTCTGCAAGAAATTCAGACAAATCCTCAACACGGAAACGATCTGGAGAAGGCGATGTGTGGAAGGTAAAATAAGACAGTTCGTGGCTTGATAACACAAGCAAATAAAGCGTGTTCATCTGGGGTGTGTTACATTTCAGGCAGTAGAAAATAGAGCGTTGCTTTCACTTTTTTTTGTCCAGAATTACATCTTATGTTGCTGTTGATCCAGGCCGGCCTTAGCTCTCTGGGCTGCATGAAATTATTATGGTGAGATCCTCTGCATACTTAGATAAGCTCTGTCCATTTATAATCAGGAGGTAACGTATCCATGGAATGGTATTACACAGTAATAACAAGCCTAAGATACTCGAGTGAGGACAAGTTAAAAAGGATTATCTAATTCATACCAAGCACTAAAATTACAACATCTGTGACAATATTTACTGAACACTACATAACCCAAAATTCCCAATATCTAGAGGCAATCTCTAAACTCTGTCAACACATTGTATAATGGTTAGTTGAGGATTTGCTCAAAGTATTTTTCTTTATGGTGTGGTCCACCTCTCCAATCATGCAGAGCAATTTGGGCCCACTCCCCTTTAGCTCTTCTTCACAACGCTGCGTCTGTTCTTTGAAGTGGAAGCAGTCATTTCTGCCTGGTTCTTTTCAGGTCCCACTACAGCGTTTCAGTCACAGATCTGGACTTAGCGGGGTCATTGATTGTCTCCTGCAACCCTCCCAATCAAGCCTCACTTGTTAGGTCATTCTCTATTTGCGCTTCTCTGGAACTTCAACGTTTCACATGGTAGCTTAAACATGTAGAAATGCTGTTAGTTCTGGGATGTTTCACAGCTGTCTGGGAAATTTGAATGGCTTTGTAACCCTTCCTGATAATCAGTTTTTCAAGTAACATATAGTTTTCTGATCCCACACCACCTTTATTGAAATACGTTGACAGTAAGTTTCGATGACTTGGTGGAATATTCTGCAGATCCATTACTAATCAGTCATGTTTACATGGAGCATGAGGGTTAATGTGGGTAAATGGAAAACACTTGAGGAATGTAGTGAAAGGTTGCGTAAAGGGTTGGCTTCCAGGTATTTACAGGTAGAGATTGAGCGCATTGAAAATCTGAAATGAAACCCAAAAGAAGTACTTGAAAGGCCAGAAACTACATATGTTTCTTTGTTGCTTGTGAAGCCTTTAGAGGTTGCATTTGCTTACTTTTGACTCCGACTGTGATACAGACTTCAACACTTTGTACAATCCAGTGGCTGAGCCGCGTTACATAAATGATATGACTTTGAAGTCATGATAAGGTCAAGTTTGTGTCTACTGACTGGAGTTTAACCTTTGATTGTCCGTCTCCTTGTGTGTGCTCTACAGATTCTTTGTTCAGCAGAGCTCCTTTTCAAATGAAACATGATCAGTAATGAGTAAGAAATTAGCTGGAAATTCTGGCAAAGTGCACACCGGCTCTCATGAAAAATATTACTATTAGTTGTGAGTCCCTTTTAATGTGCATCCCTCTCTTGTGTTTGCTCCGCAGAATTTGGCATGAATGAGGATCTGAGGAAGATGGAAGCGGGAGGAGTGTCCAGCCAGGACCTCTACGTTAAACGTCAGTTTGTAAAGCTTTAGTATCACTTATTCAAATTTTTCAAGCCAGTATAAATTTCAAGAAGTAGGCTCTTCATTTCTATTCATTTTTATTTTACGTGTATTTATTTTCCTTGATTGTAAAGGGGAGATGTCGACTCTAGGTTCCAGCACACGGAAACCAGTCCTAATGTTTTCAGTCTCTTTGATCCAGTAAAAAGTGGTGTTTATTGAAAGTTTTACAATGTTTTTACCTCATTTTGGGGAATACTTCGCCTTTTGAAATGCCGGTTGACACATAGTGCATCAGGCAAAGTGGTGACAGCCGGCGCCGGCTCTTTGAATGAGCCTTTTCTGGCACGCTGGTGCACGCGTCACGGCGCTGCGTCGGGCTGCTCTACACATCGCCTGTGTTGTGCCCACGCAGGTGTCAACCCACGAGTGAAGTCTGGGCGCTTTATGAAGCTCCTCCCGGACTACGAGCACATGGATTATAGAGACGTGTACGCACACTGTATGTACATGTGCCTCAAAGAGAATGACTGCAGCATGGCCACTAGTTTGTGGGGGACTTGGACTGAGTTTATTAGATTTGTAAGCAAACAGTTGTAGCGGTATAGTGCACCCGCTTGGTAATTAACCTACCGCGCTGTTTGCTTCTATATTAACCATCACGCGGGGGGACCAGATAACTTGGTGTGCTGTGTGTTGCTCAGAAACCTAGCCGACAGTTCGTGTTTTCTCTCCTTCGGGTGAATTCCTCATTAAATGGGAAGCAGAGTGAGTTGGTTACAGTGTTTCTGACAGTTTCGGTTGATACTGATGAGTACTGTTCGCTGTTGGATCTCTGTTTCAGTGCTTTACCCTTACAGACACATCTTGGGGCTTTGGCAGCCTGACATTGGCCCTTATGGCGGATTGCTCAATGTTGTGGTAAGTGCGTTTTATATTGTATTTGTAGTAAGATAAGGAAGCGTCCTCAGCTAACCGACTTTGTATGAACACATACAAAAGATGAGCATTTATGACTTCATATCAGAAAGCTGCGAATGACTTGGCGTAATTTGGCAGAGGTAAATCATTTGGGTGTTTTTCCTCACAGGTGGATGGGCTGTTTATCATCGGCTGGATGTTCCTGCCACCTCATGACCCCCGTGTGGAGGACCCCATGAGAAGACGGCCACTGTTCCGCATCCACTTGTGGGAGAGCAAAAAGGCCACTGTGGAGTGCATGTATGGACACAAAGGTCCCCACAAAGGAGACATACAGGTGGGGGCAGCAAGAAAAAAAATATTTGTGGCTCTACCAAATTCTGGATTAAAAGAACTGAACCAACCTCAGTATCCTCTCCAAATATGTCATTTTTAGACAGTAAAGAAAGATGAGTTTTCTACTAAATGCAACCAGACTGATCATCATCGCATGCCTGGAGGCAGACAAGAGGTGCGTCAAACTGTTACTACAGGGAGCATGTTAATGCCACAGACTATATCTGACGTAAAAGCACTCATTTCTGTGTTTCTTTTATTGAAGGAATTCAGGACGTGGTTGGAGGAAGAATGGGGTCGAACGCTGGAAGAAATCTTTCACGAACACATGCAGGAGCTCATCCTGATGAAGTTCATTTACACCAGTCAATATGAGTATGTGTCCTGTTCCTACTTATGGTAGCAGGTCAACCAAGGTGTGAATTAACTGTATTCTTTGTGCTGTCTTTCGACAGTAACTGTTTGACGTACCGGAGGATCTACCTGCCTCCGGCCATGCCCTCGGACCTGTTGCATCCGGGCTTATTCAAAGGCACCTATGGCAGTCACGGCTTGGAGATTGTCATGCTCAGTTTCCACGGAACCTCGGCAAGGGCTACCAAACTCACTGTAAGTTCGCCGGCCACATCATGGCTTATCACGTCCAGCAAAGGTCTGTGGTGATGATTTTTGCCAGCTGGGATTCCACCCGTCAAACCAAACCCACCCGTCTCTGTCCCCTTACCACAGGGGGACCCCAATGTTCCTGCCGGACAGCTCACGTTGGAGGTGGACCTGAGTCGGCCGGTGGTCCTCCCGGAGCTGGACCAACAGCGCAACATCGAGGAGCTGTCCCGGCTAGTGCTGGGCATCCACGAGGCCGTGCAGAGGGAGGCCGAGCAGCAGACTGCTGTGGCTCCTGCCCCGGCCAAACCCGCCGCAGAGGGAGCCTGTGGCGGCCCCGGCGAGGACGCCGCGATGGAGGCGGACCACGGTGCCTGTTCAGACAGCGGTCAGCCCGGCCCGAGCAGCAACAGCCTTTCTGAAGCCCAGCCCTTTGTTCTGCCTCTAGGGGTCATGGCTCGCAATGAGGTCTACCCTCGCACCTGCCGAAAATGGTAAGGAGTCGGTGCACTCTAGGCTTTGCTAAAGTGTCCATTTGGAAGTTGTATCTGCAGTAAATCGTCTCAAATAATGATTTGATGTGCTGGTGGGTTTAGACTGATGAATAATTGATGTGCACTGTCTCCCTTTCAGCTTCTACGGAACTGGCTTGATTGCAGGGCACGGCTTCACAAGTCCAGAGCGTACTCCGGGACTCTTTGTTCTGTTCGACGAGGACCGTTTTGGTTTCATCTGGTTGGAGTTGAAATCTTTCAGTCTGTACAGTCGCCTGACGGACCAACTGGCTCACGCTCACGCCCCAAATCTGGAGCGATTTGAGGCCATGCTGCGCAACATGCAGTCATGGACATCCTGATGCATCAAGCTTTAAGTCTACTCCAACAATACACGGCGACATAATCAGTATATACGAGTCAGCTCTGCTTGAATATTAATATCCTTATAGCTGATGACCTTAACTCTCCGGGTTTTGTCTATAACTTATTCATTCTGGGTTGTACTGTCTGACTTTAGCTGCTTTTATCACCCTGACCTAGCGCACTTAGGTACGTTCACAAACATATACTCTGAAGGGCCTCCCAAGTCACCACTCTCACCTTACCTGGGTATGACCTTAAACCTCCACTGCGGCATGATAACGGGTCACATAGAATTTTTGCTTTATTTATTTTTGTAATTCCCTGCTGAAAAAAAGAACCATACCACTTAAGGATCAAGCTGTCTGTGCCTGCGATTCCAAAAAAAGCGTGTCTGTACTGGGTAGCGCTCGAGGCAGATGAAGGTTTCCGATGTATTCTAATATATAACTGTACCGATTTAATTCCCCAGCATGTTGTTTTGATTTAGAGCTTATCTCATTGGACTCATACCCATTCATAGAAGGTGTTCTGTTTTCAGAGAGCAGCATGATTTGCTTATTAGTTGTTTTTGGGGTGTTTGCTGTAGAAATATTAGAACTTTAAATGTACACAATCTCTGGTTTCTGTTGACCACAGGAAAAACAGGACAAAAGTATGTGTATAACAAGGAATCGAGTTACATTCGATAAATTCATTTTACAACTGAGGGATCGACCAACCCTCATGTCACCTCACTGATATTAGCCATTTTTGTAACTGATATGTTTTTACCCTTTGAACTCCAGATTTATCTTCTTCAACGGTGTGCTTTGACTCATAGTTTTACATCATTCTTGGTCGCCACACCCAGAACATTAGCCTGTTGTGTAAGCTGGAAAGATGTATCGCAGTAGGACAAAAATATATATATACAAAAGCTGGATTGAACGGAATTACCATAGTTATACTGTTTGTGTGCTTCTGTAACAATGCGCTGAAACCATTCAAATGTTGTGGATTTGTCGTTTGCTTTAATGGCCGATGCAGTGTTTGCCTGGCTTTACAGTATACCTGCAAAGTTATTACTTCACATACTCCCACTGACAACCAACTTGAGACAAGGATAGCTGATCATTATTCAGATGTAACAGCTCAAAGTGCGATGCAAGTGTGTCACGACGGCCTGATGGTGGTGCCCAGTAGCTTTCCTACTTCAAGTGCACTTTTCTGGGCAGTTTAGTGGATTGTTAAAAAAAAAAAAACATGGCCAGCACTTTTCTATCAGACTGCAGCTTTACTAACATTAGCAAAAAATCTTTTCAAGCTTAGTTGATCAGATTTTATTCATTTGACTTTTTATTATTATAATATCAATGTGTTCTCTTGTCTGTAAATCCAACTGTTCAAATGATTTGCATTTTGAAATGTGTTGCTTTGTATTTTATGAACGCCATTTGCCTAATTCTTTGAAAATTACAGGTTTGTCGTATTGAACTGCTCACATCAGACTTCAGGGAGCTTATCAGCTTAAGCGCTCTTCAGTAATAAAAGAAAAAAAGAACTGCTTTGACACGTGGGTTTTTTTGTACATGGATTTAATTTTGCACCACACTCAAACTCATTTTTTAAATTTGAAGGAACTTTAATTTTTTTTTCCCAATCCATGTTTCAATTCAGTGCCACTTTGAGATTTGATTATTATATTCTTTTTTAAATGTATTATAATGTGACAAATATATTAAATGATTTATCAAATACACGAGGAAACACCAGTCATTAGTAATAAAGATTATTATTCATAACTAGTGCTGTACTCTTGAAAATGATCATAGTGTTTGACTATTTTTTCCTTCTGTTCTCCAGGTTTGGTGGTATGACATTGAACATAAATTGATTACAGAAATAGTAGTACAACACAAATCGTTTAGGAAATTCTGAAAAAGTTGTCTTTTGATTAATCCTTTCACAGTGATGTTAATGTTAAAAGTGTCTACAAATGACAGTTTTCATTCTTTATCTACAGATAATACTCTACAGCTCACTGTGCTCTGCACTCTCCATATGCTGTCGTAACTTCTCTGGCAATATCTGAGTAAAGAAGACAAACTGATCCTTCTTCAGGTGCTGACGAGCTACCTGCTCTTTCAAATCAATTTCCATGTACTCCTCATCTTTACCGTATTTTGGCCAGTGTGCAAGGTTGCCTCCATTCGGAGATCTTCACAGAAGAAAAAAAAGGTAATTAACAACTAGCTTTCTCTGTCTGTACTTTCAACAGAAATGAGCAGAAATTCCTACCCTGTGTGAGCAAAGTTTCCCCAGTAGTTCATCGCGGTTCTGCTAAACTCTTCCTCTTCTTCAGGACATGCATCTTTAAAAAAGAAGTAGAAAAAAAATGTGAAACTTTTTTTGCTTAATGGAGCAAAAAAGACAGATCTAAATTTCTGAGACGGCATGGAATTCACTTACTGGAAAGTCTTACATGAGTAGTTGTGAAGCAGTATCCCAGCACAGTGAATATTTCATCCCCATGATCACTCCTCACAAAGCTTGGCCTTTTTTCCTTCAGCATCTTGGGAGGGTACATATACTGATACAAGTATACAGGAGCACCCGCATCTAGTCGAAGAGAAGAGTTGTTGAACCAAACCAAACCGAACAAATAGTAGTAGTTCTTTGCATGAATCCTACAATTTTACACAAAAATTACCTCTGTGAGCATTTGCAGTTTTGATGGCTGGAATGGTAAACAGAACATCTCCAAACAACTCAGTGAGTCCATCTCTGTTTCTCACACGGTCTTCCCCAGCACCAACATATTCCTCTATTATCAGATCTCTGAGAAACGCATCTTTGGGCTTAAGAGGAGAAGGTATGACTGTTAAAGAAGCTTGCTTCCACAGAGGAGAAGCATCATTAGAAAATGTCAATGAGTGAATGTCTTACATCACTGTAGAAAATGGATAGTGTGCTCACAACGGCCTCCAGATCCATTCCTTCTGTCCAGTTTGGGGGGGCCATGTACTAAGGGACGAAGGTCCAACGGCAATTAGTTTAGTTCTTGTAGTAGATCCGGACAGAAAACGGTAACCAGTGCAACACTTACATCAATCAGCATAAATCCTGCTTCATGATTATTAACTCCGGTCATGAATGGCACAGTAAGGAGTTCCTGTTTTTGGAAGATCTCCTCCACAGGCTTTGTCAGGAAGTGTCCATCAACATGCACAAAATATCTTAGAGATGGATCCTTCAAAGAGTACAATTTGTGTTAGAGGCAATAGTTAAAAAAATATGATAAAAATGTAATATTTGGAAAAGAAAGCTTCTACTCTTTCACCTTTACAATCGTCAAGAGTGTATCAATATCCAGGTTTCTCATGCATTCACCTATCTTCTCTGTGCTCTCCAGGCTACAACCAGAGGCATTTGCAACCACCTGAGGACAGATCAATTTATAATGAAGGCTCCAGCCAGGGATACCAGAATTACAAAAAAAAAAAGCATAAAAAGCAGTTATGACCAACCTGCATCACAGGAAGTGGATCATTCCCCACGATAGCATCCATAGCAGCCGTACCACTCTCAGCAATGCCATGGTGGATGAGGCCTTTAGACAATGGTGAGAGAAGCTGCAGATTTAAACAGCAGAAGAAGTTTGTTATCCAACATTCTGAAACAGGAATCTTTTAGATCCAGAACAATACTTACCAGAAGAGAAACGCTCACTCCACCGGCAGACTCCCCAAACACGGTGACCAAATCGGAGTTTCCTCCAAAGTTGTGAATGTGCTCCTT